ATAACGTACTCGCATTTAACTAATATATATATATATATATATATATATATATATATATATATATATATATATATATATATATATATATATATATATATATATATAAACATTTATTTATATTTATATATTATTATAAATATATTTTTTTTTAAATATTGTATATGCACTCCATAAAATAAAACACCAGTTGTAGTTTTTTTTTTTTTTTAAATCACAAATCAACAAAACAATTGATTGTGGGTCAAAACTACTTCAAAATTCCAATAAAAGTGAATTCAATGGCTGTAAGTAAGAATTTGACTTATAATCTAAAAAGTTGTGAAATCAACTCTAAATATTTCCAACGCACAAAAAAAACAACTAATTTTTTAAAAGAAAGTATTGTACACTCACTCCATAAAATAAAATATTAGCAGTACTAGTTTTATAAAATAAATTAACAAAACAGTTGAATAATTAGTCAAAACTACTTCAAAACACCAATAAAAGATAATTCAATGGGGGAAGAATTTGACTCATAATCTAAAAATTGTGAATTCAACTCCCAATATTTCCAATGAGTTTAAAACAAAATATTACTAATATTTTATACAAAAAATGCTTGAAGATATATTGGTAATAGTTCTTTAGAATAACTAACCTGACTTATGTTTATGGTCGTCAAAGACAATTTAATGATTCAACCATTTCAAAAATCTAAGAAAATTGACTTGAACATTTTCAATTAGACCATGCTTTTGGAATTTAAAAGTAAATATAAAAGAATAGGATATTTATTTTAATAATTACTTTATACATAAAATAAAAGAGTAGAGTGGAAATTAACATGAAATGCAATAGTTGGTGGATCATAACAATTTTCAAGTATTAAAGAATGCTAGAATTTGTTTGGTGAAAAAAGGAAAGTGAACAAAAAGATAGTAAGAGTCTTTCATTTGGTACATAAGAAAGAGAAAGAAATGACACTTTACATTTTTTTTTCTTCTCTGTTTCTTTAAAAATACTTTTTCTTAACTTTTTTTTACCACTAAACAATAAAAAACTATTTTCAAATCAATTTTTTTTAGTTTATTGTTCATTATTGCAAGCTTCTCTGCATCTTCAATTCTTCATACTCAAGTATCACCGGAATCTGTCTTTCATGGACAAAGAAGGTGTTGAACTTCAAACTGATGCAGGTTCAATGATGGCAGATTCTTCTCTTCTTCATCACCAGGTGATTTTTCAAAAAACCCTTTTTTTCTTTGCTTAAAAAACTCAATGCTTATGACCCTTTTGTCTATATAGCTTGATTTTTCTACAGATCAATTGGTTTCCATTTGGTTTCATCCACAAGGTCTAAAATAGTATAGATTCCTAATTTTTAGCATTTGGGTATAGAGAAAGTTTCCTTTTTTATTATCCCCACTTCGAAAAAAACAGTTTTTTTTTGTCAATTTTCACATTTTAAAATGAATCAATGATGCAGTTTCTATTTTTAAGCATCTGGGCCAAAGAAAGTTTCGTTTTTTTGATGAACCAATTTTGAATTTGATAGGTTTCAAGAAGACCTAGTCTTTCCTCTCTACAGATACCAACAAGGTCACTAGAAAGTGCATTATCTTCTTCTACTAAGACAGATGGTCCTACATTGTCAAGTCCGGGTTCCACTAGAGGACTGCCACCAAGGCCACATTCTACCAAAGTCAAATCCTCTATGAGAAGTTTGCTTTCTGATAGGAGCTTTAGGACAAAAACTTGTTCACAAGATTGCGAAAAGACGGTTTTGATTGTTCCTGATACTTTATCATCGAATGGTCCTTTGGATAAGCCTTCTACTTCGAGGTCGCTTTCGCTTAACAAGATTTTGTTCCCTTCGTCGACAAAAGCTGCACATTCGTTACCGGTTACTCCAATTGCAAATTCAGGTGGAGATAATATAGATGGGGCGTGTGTAGAGGGTGATTCTGATTTAAGTGTATGTTTCTGCTGTTTTCGTTATTGTTTCGTGGAATTTTTAATAAATTTTTATACATGAGAATATGATTGTAAAGTATGGTGCATTGATGAATATCTTCTTTGTAAGCAGAAAGTGAAAGTGAATAAGCATATGACTAGATCATTTTCAGTTCCGGTTAATGTTAAAGCCGCTAATTTAAGGCCTACAGATTCGAGGCGCCTGGTTCGTGTAATTTCAGCAAGACCTCATACTGCAGCTTCTGATGGCATTTCAACTCGCAGCGATTCAATGCAAGAGATTGGTAAATCTTCATGATATATGAAACTTATGTATCCCTTTTAAATCTTCATGATAACCTTATGATAAAAATAAATTAGATAACTAAGTGTGGCAACTTTTTGCGTTTCGGCAACTGGTTCCTTTCAGTCATTGAAGATGCTTCTGAGGATATTCCCGAAGAAGAAGCCGTTTGTAGGATTTGTTTGGTGGAGCTTACGGAAGGGGGAGATACTCTAAGGATGGACTGCAGTTGTAAAGGCGAGCTTGCACTTGCTCACCAAGATTGTGCGGTAAAGTGGTTTAGCATCAAAGGAAATAAGACGTGTGATGTATGCAAGCAGGATGTCCGGAACCTTCCAGTAACACTCTTGAAAATTTCTAGTCCTCCAACTGTTGTTCGGCATCAATTGAATGCATCGCAGCAGAGAGAAACAGCTAATTACAGGTAAATTTATGACAGAATTCGAATGACATGGCACAATTTTCGTGAAACAATATTTGTTACGTCTATAAATCTCGCTTTCTAATTATAATGTATTCTACAGGATCTGGCAGGATGTACCGGTACTTGTCTTGGTCAGCACGCTTGCATACTTTTGTTTTCTTGAGGAACTACTGGTATGCTACCGACCTTACAATGCTTTGTTCGATCATTTTACTTTTGAATACGAAACATTTTTAATTATGTTATGGTTTTTGTTTTGTTTTCTTTAAAATATTTTGTACAAAGTGGAAGTGTTTTTGACACGATGAGTTTTAGCGTACCAGGTTTCGGATTTGGGTCCACGTGCTCTCGCCATTTCTTTGCCTTTCTCCTGCATCTTAGGCCTCCTTTCATCGTTAATCGCTTCAAGCATGGGTAAACTTGCTTCCTTCATTTTTCCTTAGCATCTCTAAGTAACTTGTTGTTACCGAAATCACTTGTTAACCGAAAATGATTAATATGTTAAACAAATTTTAAATCAAATTCGATTTTTCGATGGCAGTTAGCAGGAGTTACATATGGGCTTATGCATGCTTCCAGTTTGCATTTGTCATCCTGTTTGCTCATGTATTCTATTCAATAGTAAGATTTTCGAGTCTCTTTGTTATTTTTCTCTATTTTATGAAGATGTCATTCATGTTAACTATCGCATTTGACATATTTAAACTTGTAGCTTAATGTTGCTGCGATATTCTCGGTTCTTCTTTCAACATTCACCGGATTTGGGATTTCAATCAGCGTGAATTCGCTCTTAATGGAATATGTTAGATGGAAAACAAGTAGACAGATTCAATCTTCTAATCAAAATATTATTTTGAGACAGCAGCAGCAGCAACAAGAAACTCAAAGACAATAACATCAACAGAATCAATGACAGTAGTTGATATTACTGGGACCAGTTTTTCACAATTATGGAGAATTTTTCTTTTTCTTTAATAGTAATGTTTTGTTAAATATAAATATATTTAATGAGTGTAAGGTTTTCAATTTACTTATAATATATGGCTCTCATTTTTAATCATTAAATTTGCTTTCAAGATTGTATAATATAATAATTCAAAGATAACTGACTTATCCTTGGAATGATGGAATCCATTGAATTGTTTGTTTAAACATCTAGCACGTTCAATGTATGTTTTTATTATAATCAAATTTAATAAACTTCACACTTAAATGTCTATAAATATTACAATTGAAATGTCCAGTTACGCAATAGTGAAGATGACAAAGTCATTGTTTAAATATATTTAAATTTTAGATAATTGGCTAATCTTAACCATTAAACATTGGTTAAACATCGGAAAGAAACAGAGAAAAAGACAACTGCACGTCAAGATGAAAACAAAACTTTTAAATGTATGCATGTTTAAATTAAAAAGAAAATAGTTACTTATTTAAATAAATAAATCAAACAAGATTAAGATGGGATGATTTTTGGTTAAAATAGATGATGGAAAACAACATGCAAAACTATTTCTTTAGACGGCTAAACCTATTTTATTTTATATTCTTTTTCATTAACATTAAATAAAGTTAAAGTTGCTAAAAGTTGCTTATATTAAGACCAAAAAATAAATATATTTTGCATATAATTGAGAACAAATAGAGTACATGACTAATAAAATAGTCTATACATTATATGGAGAACTTAACAATACAATACTCCTAATTTCACAGTTTAAACTAAAACTTACAAGTGATTATAGGGAGAATTTAACCCAATAATAATCTCACAGTTGAACTATAAACGCCTTAAGTCACTGAACATGTTAAATTGACACCCCTTTAAAAACCGAACTTGTACTATTTTCTCCTTGGGTATCAAAATATTACAAATTAAATTTGAGAAAAGGGTTTGTATATAACACTTCATTTTCAGTGTAAAATTTGTTAATTTCTTTTCCTTGAGAAAGAGATAGAGCTAGTAATATGCACTAACAGCAATCTTACAGGTCCAATGCTAATTTTAGCACATTCATATTTTAAAAAAATGCTAATTTTAAATATAAAAATAAAATAACGAATTCTGCGTGGAGTTGCGCAATTACAAGAAACTAACCATATAACTCAATCACTATAATTCAAAACATCCATTGCAAAACAAGAGGATTAAGATCAGCTAATCATTTGTCAGACAATACAAGGAATTACAAGCACAAAATTGTGAAAGTTCAAATATTGATACTTGATTCAACTGTGCCGCTGCATTTCAAATCTCTGAATATGGAAGTAAATTCCAAATAGTGCCTGGAATCTCTTGGAGATGCAGGATAGTTGCTTGAATTTGTCATGACTGGTCTACTTTTTAGTCTTTGGTTTAGTTGCAGCTTCAATAAGTCTGAACATCCATCGGTCCAGCATCCCTGTTCATGTAAATGTGTTGGTTTTACACAGAATTTGAGTGCAATAATCATGATACATATTCAGTAGTTAAAAGGGAAAAAATACCAGTTACAGCGAAGGTTCCACCTAGCACGGCACAAAGCCGAGTAATAAAATGAAGAAAACTGCGGCGTTCCTCCTTGATGGTGACAGTAATAGGCGATAGATCATACAAAAAGTAGACAGCTGCATACATAATCAATAGGAATTTATTAATATTTGAAAACTGAAACCAAATTTCAGAAATGTGCATTGCCAACTTCGAAATAAATCCAACCTGGCCATGTCCGATCAAATTGACTAGTAATGGGGGAAAAATATTCTGTAACTGAGAACTGATTAGTCGGTAGAACTTCTTTTGAAAGATACCTGTATTCAGTTGGAACAATCTGCATCATAATTTGAAAACTGCATTGTTACTCAGGCCAGGTTTAAAAAATATTCAAGAAAGAGATCAATATTCAAACCTTTATATAGTATTTAAAAGTTCCACTTGCATCATGCACAATCCTTGGTGTCTCATCAAGTGGGTTATGAAGTCCTGGATATTTGGGGCCAAATGATAAATCATGGATAACGTGACTAACGTTCACATTCTTTGCTCCATCAAAGATCTGTAGAAATCAATCACGGGTGAATTAGGTATCTGACATACAACAAATCTTGACAAGCTTCTTTGTAAGAAAGTTCAAGACAGAAAAGTCTGATACAAGCTGCTGAATGTCACATTGCAATAAACTTATCAGCAAATTCCTAATAAAGTAATTTCTTTGGCAGTAAATTCAATCTGCTCAGTAAGTTATCCACTGGGTAAAATTCACATACATTATTTACTTATTTGCAAAAAAAATTAACAGAATAAACTACTAAAAAGAATTCAAAGTAGTGTTTTTATGTGATGTTAAATTCTATGCAAGATACCTGCACCTTTAAGCTTTATGGACAAAACGTCAAGAAATTATAATATGCATAGCCCGTGCACTAAAATATAGATTTTTAAAGAAGAAAGAAAAATATCTTGCCATTTGTGCAACATATATGTTTAGTCCGTGAACTGAAATATGGAAATTTCCAGCAACCCTTTGAACATCTAAAACGCCATATACCTGTAATAGAATTAAACTAAATATTAAGTTTATTTCAAAATGGACAAAAAAACGCCACAAGTAATTCATAATATAGTAACTTCAGAGTTTATACCCGGCATCCCTCCCCATTTTTTAATGCCTCCTTCACCTTCTTGATAGTATTTTCAGTGGCTTCATCAAAGGTTTGCAAGTGAGCTTTTTCTTCTGAATGCTCATGGTGATCTTTACCATCACCTGTTATTAGCAGTTTTTGAGAGGATGTATGTAACAAGTAAGTAACTATTAAAGAATGTAAGTCTAAAGTAAGTAACTATTAAAGAATGTAAGTCTAAGGCAAATTGTGAGCTATACGCTTGTCATAATATGAACATGCTACACAGTCACGTGTTTAACAGTTGAAGTCACACCAGTTAATCTTTAGTATACTTAGAAAAGTATGATTTATGGCATATATGATCGGGAATCTTGAGTTCTTTATACGAAATGATGGGGAAATAGAAAGAAATGTAAATCATAGGATTCAAGAAGGATTGATGAAATGGATGAATATTGAGTGCCCAGATACATCCTCTCTCAATTTCATCTCCTTTCAACCATTGAGAGGGATTTGGAGGGAAGAGGAAATGGGTACAACAAAATCCAATACCACAACTGTAGCGCGCTCTCTATCTTTCTGCTATCACCACCCTCCACTACCGAGAACTCTCTAACATAAGCCACCACTTCTTGACACCCTCCAGCGCTGCCACCACCCAACACCCACAGTCTCTGCTAGGCACCCAGTTACCCTAAGCCATTACCAACTGCTGGCAGCCTCCACCACGTCTACTGTCACTCAGGCATTGACACCATGCTTCGCTCCATAATTGTCGCTTCCTGACATCCTCAACAACCACTACAGCTTGGTAGAACTTGGCATTTAAAGAAATTTATTATTATAAGTGTACGATGGTAAATTAATTTTGTTTTTCTCTCTTCTTCCCTTGCAAACAAACCAGGATAGGGTTATTTCTCTCTCTTCAATTATAGATGAAAAATGTGGGATGGAGTGAGATAAATGCTACAATGGTAGTTTAATCAACAAACACAAATTTATTAGGCAAAATGGGCCAACATGTGGTTTAACAAGAAATCGTTTTTATCAAGAAATCAGGCAAATGTTTAACTTATTGGGTGAAGGGATATGAATAGTTTTTGGCTTTTTGCACATTAAAATGGGCCTCTTACTAAGAGCCTTTTGGGGATTAAGATTTAAGAGTGCATTATGCTTGGCCAACCTAGTGTTAAATTTAATTTTTCTTCAAGAGAAAATAGCAACAAAGCTCAAACTTTATCCCAAATGATCATAGAGGCTCTCATGCCGTGCCAAGAAGCTACTCTCTCGAACGCTTAAGCTAAGGTGTACGAGTATATTTTTATATTTAGTAATAGTTTCTAATAACAAATAGTATGTGTGTACTTTCTATTAAAATTGATAACTTTGGAAGAACATTAAGCCTCTCATTTCATCATCTCATGCAGCCTTTCACTGAGATATTCAATTCAATATTTAGGAAATAATTATTTACAAACAAACAGGAAAGAGTTGTAGTAGGAGAGAATCCCTTTATTATCCCCAAAAAATGGAAATAAATCTACCCGTCAACAAATGAAAAGAATCCAATCAAATGCAGCCCCTGCAATTTCAACCAATTGTTTTGAAACCATATGCAAGATGAAACAAGAGATTACCATGATTGTGAGCAGCATGTTCCTTTTCAACAAGATCAGATATATATTCGGTGCCAATTATCATGCCATTACTGTTCAAACGAAGCTGCAATAAATTCAAACAAATTACAGTAAATAACCATAAATGATAAAAGAACACGGAACTCTGGCTATAAAACAACTAACAACCACGGCAATATTTATCAAGTTCCTATTTATTCATATATGTTGAAAGTAAACAGATAAATAGTTGAGAAATATAATGAGATGTGTCTCACAGTTGCAACGATACAATTTCCTAACTGTTATACTCACATTATTTGATTAAAATGCAACGATATAATTTCCAAACTATTATAACCACAATGAATCTAAACTTGTTTACAAAATATATTATTTTCATTACTTCCCCTCGTACTAGAGCATATAGATCACACGACATGCTGATTAAAATATAACTTATCCAAGAATATCCAAAGGGCTAAGTGAAAACATCTACATCTACTAGTTGATAATGTTGTCTCTAAATAGGATCTTCTGTTTGATAAATAAAGTGACAACCTATCTCAATGTATTTTGGCATCTCAAGGAACATTGTATTCAAGGGTTTATGTGAAGTAACTTGATTATCACAGATAAGTAGCATACAGATAGTCTCCTTCAAATAAACTATTTCAACCAAAATAAGTTTGCAAGCCTCAATGATTTTTTATTACTAATGACAAATATATCACCAACTTATTTTACTCAATTATTCAGCATTTTAATTGGTGTTTTACAAATTATAAATGATTTGAATTATATCTATTAGCTTCCATCCACTGTATTGTTTTTGGGATCAGCTGCTCCATGATGCTATCATGTACTCATTCGAGTGACCTTGTATCATGAAGAGTGAGAAACAGAATGTGGTTGTAGACATGCAAATCAACAGAAGGAACTGAAGTTAAACAAATTGAGGAACCCATTACCAAGATCAAACAAAGATAACTAACGAAGAAATGGGTTCTTGGTTCATTGTTTGTGTACTAGCCGCTACAATTGCAACCTTCCCTTCTCCACTGAAACTATTGACAACATGCTAGCTACAACAGTCATTTTCTGTAACACAATCTATTGATGTTGCCGTGATAACACTATTACCTCAAGCTAATGACTTTAAAGACACAATACCCTGAAGTGAAACTTCTATCAATAGAAGAACCTATCAAATCAACATCAGAAAACCGAACAATTTGAGCCATCCTCAGAGATGAGGCCCCATTTTGTGAAGCTCCTTCAATATATTAGAATATGGATAACTACTCCCCAATGACCCTGACATGGGAAATTTCAAAATCTTACTCACAAATCATTACTTGTGGTTTGGACAGGGAAACATGTTTTGGAGGAATTTTTTTCCAACACGGATTACTATTAAGCTGAGGGCAAAGCTATAACTCAATGAACACTCGGGAATTTCCTAATTCCGTGAAAGTAAGCAATACAAGAAATAAGAGGTCTATGTCTTTCCAACATGCAAGCATACAATACATCAAGCAACTTTACAGTGGATATCAACATCTTAGGAAATTATATAAAACGAATCAAAATGCATACTTTAAGAAAACCAAAACACATCAAAAGCGATCTACAATAGACTATTAATAAGCTTACTTTCCATATGTTAGTATCAAGATCCACCTCATGCTTGCCAGACATATCAATAGCATCCACACTCAAAACTGTGCACAGAGAACAACAAAGAATATCATTTAGAATCTTCATCATTGTAGACAACAACAAATCCAACTCGAAAGCAACATCAAGCAGATGAAAATTTAGTACTAACCATCACAAGGTAAAGAAGGGAATGTCATATTTATATGAATTGGAAGAGTTTCTCCACGATTCAAGTCCACTGACATCTGCAAAAGATCACAACTTTTGTTAATATACATATACAACTAGCTAGTATAATTGATATTGACATCAAAATAAACCTACACCCTTTAATTTACTACAAAATTCAATACAAAAACAGCAAAATCATTGAAGCAAAAAAGAATGCAAACCTCATGAACAGTGTAAGTTGTGAGATAATAACCCATCTCGTGCAGAAACAGTATAGCCATTATAAATAATCCGATTACCGAAACTACAACACAATAACAAAAAATGAATCATATAATATACATAAAAAATTCACAAAATGGATCAGGGAAGAAAGAAAAGAGGATTACCAAGAGCACCGGATTGGGTTTTCTGCAATAAATGATCCTCTGCGCGAGGAAATGCGTCGAGGTTCTTAAGCACTTGTTTCATTCCCATGGTTTCCCCTTTTTGGTTTGTATGTGATCAATTGAATTGAGAAAGAGAGTGTTGTGTATGATGAATCGGAAAAAGGAAAACGAAATTGGTGGAATTGGAAAGATAATTGACGGAGAAGTGGAATTGTGATGAGAATTGAGGAGAACGGAAAATTCAAACGAGAGGAGGTTCCACCGCAACGTTTCACCAACCCGCCTCCTTCTTCCGAGAAACGTGTTTTCTTCTCTTCTCTTTTTCTTTGTCTTATTTTTTGAAGTCTTCCTTTTTTTTTTAGAAATAAATATCTCACCCAGAAAATGTAAAAGGATGAAATTAATTACCGTATTAAAGTAGATATTAATAATACTAAAATACTACAGTTTATTATAAAATTTTAAAAAAATTACTAAATGTAGTTAATTTTATCAAATAATTATTAAGTGTCACATATCAATATATAATAATAATGTAATACTGAGCAATGGAATATTGAACAATTTCTTTTTCAATGAAAATTGATTAAGCCTTTTGCCATCCTAGCCACAACTCAATAATGCTAATTTTGCACATCCATTTATATATGACTTGATAATATCCTTATTCTTACTATGGCCTCTCGTATTTTTGAAGCACGTCATTTTTATCCATTCCACGATGCAATGTTGCAACTCATTGTTATCTATAATAATTCTTTCGGTTGTTGGTCACAACTCACCGGTGAATGTTACGATTTGTTAGACCAACTCCAATGGGAGTTTTTAGAGTGGGTTTGTCAACATGGCACTCATATTTGTTGTTTTTAAGATGGAAAAGTTCTTAAATATGCAACGGTTCTTCAATGGTTCTTATATTAAAATATTAATTTTATAATATAAAAACTATAATTTGATATAAAATTTTATTTATTATTTTAATTCTCATTTTAATTAAAATTTAAATATTTAAATTATAATTTTAAATAAAATAAATTTAATATAAATAATATTTTTTAAGTAAAGTGGTGGGACCCAATATGGATTCTTTAAAGTTGCATCATTAGAGTGAAAATTGAATGAGTTGCTTTAAAAGAGTGGGTCCCACAAAGAACCTAAAAATGGGTTGCACCATTGGAGATGCTCTTAGATTATGTGTTACATAATGTCATTAGTAGTCTTTTATACATCAAATTGTTGGAATTAATTACAATCTTAAAAATAATTTAAATCAATTTTTCTAATTCTTCACTCGTTATTTGAGTGATTCAACCACATTTTAGTTGGAAGATGATTCGGTCGCACAATAATTTAAAAAGAAAAGGAATCTGTAAAAGTGATTTGAGAAAAAAAAAGAATTTAGGAGAAAAAGAAAGAAGATGGATCAAACTCTACAGAGTTTCCTCTACGTTTATTTAACTATTTTTTTTTGTTTAATTCATTTTACAATAGTAGAGTATCTTCTTGTTTATAGATGAGATTACTTGCACATCAAGTAATTAACAAAATAAATGTTAAATTTAACTTTGTTGAGGTTAACTCCTTCGACATATATCTACTTCGACTACTATCAAATACATTTGACTTCGACTCTGTCAAATCTTACAGCATGTTTAACACAATGAATTACATATTTAACATATCACCTAATTCATTATGTTTAAGCTATCTACATTCATCGTTGTTCTTAATCTCTTGAACAATTTAACTTGCACAACCTTAGTCTTGATGACTGCAATATGATTCTCAAATTTACAAGTTTTTAAGTTCAACTTCTCATTTGCTACTTGCTCTGGAAGATAATAGAACATCGTCTTGATGTGTTTGCTTCCTTCGTGTGTTATCAGGTTCTTTGCCAAATTGATAGAAGACATGTTGTCGATCTCATGGTCATTGCTCTATGGTCTTCTCTTGGAATATCCTCGATCAGGTTCACTGTCCACTTTGCTTGACATGCACAGAGAGAGACAGTTATGCACTCTGCCTCACATGATGAGATCATTATTATTGTTTCCTTTCTTGAACTTGACACACCACAAGTGCACGACTCTATGAAGTGGTAAAAAGATATTGAACCACAGAGACCAGTGGTTTAAGTACCAAATTTTGTCCTATTGATGTATATCTAGATGAATCAATAATATGAGTTTTTAGTGAAAACAACTTCTTTGCAAAATCACTTAAATTTCAATTAAAGCAAACATGACTAATGGTTATGGTTCTCATTATAACACGTTCATATAATCCAAGTCACTTCTATTACGAGAGCTTCGACATAATTTATAGAAAATAAATAAATATGGATAATATCTGCTTTTACCAGCGCATTGCCCTATCGATGACGAATAATTCATCTGCTTTCGCACAGCCATATTATTCACCAAGGATTCGTTACTTTTGTTTAGCTATAAAATTTCTCAAATTCATCCAAGTGCTTTCATTATATTGGACTTGCCTATTTAAAAACCTGTGCTTCGATACCGACACATATCCTTTCAGACTACAGTCAATACCTGGAAACACTTTACTTTCGTGCAAAAGTTGGATTGCATGAACTCAGAAAATAAAATAAATTTAGACAAATACTCTTGTAATCAACATGTGATAGATCATACAAAAGGTTATAAAATGATCCCCATAACCCCTAGTCCCTAATAAATTACTCACTTATGGTGAGAGCAAACACAACCAATTCGATGTTCACAAATGAATTCATAATAGGTAATTGAGATAGATAAGAAATTGAATATGAAAACAAATATAAAAACTTGAATTGATAACTTTGATTCAAATTGCTCCAAAAGAGACTTGAGCAAAGAGACAATAGAAAAATATGTATAAACTTTGTAGAATAAAAATTGGCCCCCTAAACTCATAACCAATTATGAGTGTTATAGAAAAACCTAAAACTAGGATAAAATCTCTTGTTAAATGCATATTACATCAGAAACAAATCAGATAAAATCATGCCTAAAAGCTAAAAACATGAGAATCAATCTAAAAAAGGAAATAACCAAAATCTTCCTCGCCTTCCTGCTACGGCCTATAGCAGCTGCTACAAGTGATCATATCAGGCCTCTGGTCTAAGTACTAGAGGGTTGCAAAGTGGGAACCATAGGTGTATTGCTGCTACGACTCCTAGCAACCCCCTATATTATGTATAGGGATTCTCCGACTTTTTCCTTTTTATATGTTTTGCTCGTTTTCGATCCCCTTTTCATCTCGAATACTCATTAGACCTTGAAAATAGTGAAAACACATAACCAAAGCATAAAATAAAGTAAGCAGACAAAAAGCAATGAAATGCTATATAAAAACGACTAAAAATAATGGTATAAAAACCACTTGTCAGAACTCCAAGCAACTGGTGCACCAGCTAACATAAACACATACCCATGTGTGGATTTTCTATCCTCAACATCACTACACCAACCTGAGTCGGTGTAATCCACTAATTTGCATTATTTTCCTTTATCTGCTGCAGGAAAATTCCATAGTCGAGAGTTTCTTTGAGATACCTTAGTATCTTCTTTGTGGTTGCAAGGTGTGATACATTTGGCTTCTGCATGAATCTACTCACCATACATACATTGTATGCTAGATAAGTCTTTGTGTGACAAAGTTATCTTAGTGATCTAATGATTGTTTTGTACTGAGTTAGATTGACATCATCTTCATCTAAGTCCTTCGACAGTTGTAGTCTTGGTTCGAAGTTGCATTACAATATTCCACCTCAAATCTTTTGAGTATTTCACTTGCATATCTTATTTGATGCACCATAAGGCCTCGAATACTCTTTTAGAGTTATATACCAAGGAAGTATGAAATGTTTCTTAGGTCAGAAATTTCAAACTCCTTGCCCATATCACTTTTGAAGTCTTCGATCTCCTTCTTGCAGCTACCTATTATCAATAGGTTATTGATGTAAAGACATAGTATAAGCAGATCACTTCTGCTTCTTATGACATATACTCCATGCTCAGTTGTTCACTTCAAAATTTTCTTATCCATTAAGAAACTATCTATCTTCTTATTCCAAGCTCTTGGAGCTTGCTTGAGTCCATACAAGACTTTGTGTAGCCTGTATACCTTGCTTTCTTGGTCTTGTTTTACAAACCTAACTGGTTGTGATACATAAACCTCTTCATCCAATGGGACATTTAGGAAGGCACATTTTACATCCATCTGACACATATACCAGTTATTTATATTTTCTAGACCAACAACCAACCTGATTTTTTCAATCCTAGCAACTAGTACAAACACTTCATTAAAGTGGATTCCTTCTCTCTGAAGAAATCCTTTGGCTATAATTCTTGCTTTGTGTCTGGTTACTTCTCCTTTTAAATTCAGCTTCACCTTATATACCCACTTCACATCAATTGTCTTCTTACGTTATGCCAATTCGACTAGTAACAAGGTATTGTTAATTTCTATGGACTTTAATTCTTCATCCATTGCCTAGATACCAGATGTTGAAATTAACCCTAATCTTGGAGATAATTTGAATCAATTTTGATGAATAAGAATCAATCTTTCTGATCGATCATTGTTTGAACTGCATTATAGCGACAAGAAGCAAAAGATTGGGAAGAATTCCCTTCGGGTTTTTATCATCTCCACAGGGATCAGTGCGAGGCAAAGAATATCGTTCAACGGTCTCTACGTCTCTAAGCTTGGTTTGAATGGTTTGAAAAAGTAAAGTGTGAAAATTAAAACATATGAAAGTAAATAATACATCCTTTAAGGAAGAGAGAACTCGTCGGGAGTGAATTTCATATACCCATCAAATATTTCATATACCCATCAAATACTTAATCTATCAATAAATTATATGTAACCTACAACACTTGTCAATATCATCACGTATCACCCACAACAGAGGTTATGTCTAACTCAAAGTTAAGAGAACAATTGTATTGTCTCAATGGTGATGTCTCACGCAACTTAACAAGACAGAGCCTTAAGAACTGATACTCACTATGAATATTACACCTAAATTTATCTCTAGAGTTTATAACCTAATAGATGTTCATCCTAGTTCCAGAT